CCAGGAGCCCCTAGTAGCGTCCTTGCTCCTAGTAGAAATGCCCTTTGGTACTAGTAGCTGCTTGCTCTTGCAAAAGAATATATATATATATATGAGAGCCAAGTCGCTCAACTCGCCGAACCAGTTGACACCTTCCAAGGGTTGAGGAGGACTGTGATCCTGGCAACGACTTCTATACAATCCGTCGTGCAAGTGAATCCTGCAAACTGTTTCTGACTTGGGGTTGGCAACAAAGCGGTAAAACTTAAACGTGGGCAACCTGGGTATGACAATTAAGGCCGGGTTGCAGTTTCCTTCCATCAAGCACCTTGACTTTACTTTCGTCGCTCTGTTTCGTTCTGTTCCTGTCCTTTGCAATTGTTGGTTTTAGTTTGCCCTGCTCTAGCTTTCAAATATTTTTCCAAATCCATTGCACACGTACGTTTGGAGCAGCATGTCCATTGCAAAAAGTGACGAGGTTTCTGAGAAACCACTGTATTCTCGTTGGTTGAGTTGTTGCTCCTTTTGTTGCCATTTTCCTTCTAGCGGCATTCTGGTGGATTTGCTTCAGGCTCGTGCTGTTTCCAAGATTCTCCTAGAATAAGCTCCCACCGGCTCCCATCCCAAAAATGGATGTTGGATAGGGCTGCGGAGCCTTTTCTGGACTTCAAGGGCCACACAAAAGGGCGAAGGATTAAATGAGGCTTCCACTTTGGAGCCATTAGCATCATTAGCCTAAAAGGGAGGAAAAAGAAACATGAAAAACCATAAAAAATATCCCGGCAAGAGACCCCAAACAGTGTGTGCGTGTGAGGTCTATACTACTATAAGCAGAAAGTCTAGAGATCTAGACGCATTGGGGTCCAGAGAGGTGATGGTGGTGATGAAGGCGGGGATCGTGGTGACGTTGTGGTGAAAGAGTGAGTGTGAGTGAGAGTCGGAGAGTGAGTGTGAGTGAGAGTGAAAGTGAGAGTGCGAGTGAGTGTGAGTGAGAGTGCGTGTGGGCGAGAGTGAGTCTGAGTGAGAGTGAGCGTGGGTGAGAGTGAGTGTGAGTGAGAGTCGTGGGTGAGTGAGTGTGGAGTGTGAGTGTGAGAGTGAGAGTGAGAGTGTGAGAGTGTGAGTGTGAGAGTGAGTGTGAGAGTGAGAGTGAGAGAGTGAGAGAGTGAGAGTGAGAGTGAGTGAGAGTGAGTGAGTGAGTGAGTGAGTGTGAGAGTGTGTGTGTGTGTTTGTGTGAGCGTGGGTGTGAGTGTGAGTGAGTGAGTGAGTGTGAGAGTGAGAGTGAGAGTGAGAGTGAGGGTGAGTGTGGATGAGAGTGGGTGTGAGTGAGTGTGATTGCGGGTGTGAGTGAGAGTGCATGTGGAGTGTATATCACACGCACTTGTAGGTCAAGGGAGCGAACGCGAAGCAGTGACGCCAAATGGCTAGCACGAGGAGTGAGTATGGGTGAGAGTGGGTAGAGACAAGGCCGGAACCCCGATAGAGTGAGGAACCCGCGCCCTCGAGCACCAAGGAGGAAAAAGTAAAAGGACAAGTCTGAAATGTTCACATTGACGATGTCGAGAGGCATGAATGTACTGTAAATAGCAGCGAATTAGCCGCACACGCCCGCGCGGAACAGCGATCTAAGCACACCTGCTTTTCCTCTTACCATAAGAACCCCTCAGTGTGCCCACACTGTTTGGGGAAAAATGATGACAAGATCTGAGGTCCAACCCTGGTGGTGCAAACCCGTCCCAAGCAAATGTGACGCCCACCTTCGTATTCTCAAAGCTGCCGACGAAGGTGATGTGCAAGGCCGTGGAATAGGAGCCCGCTGTAAAGACAGCTTCACCTGCCCAAGGACGTGGGGCAAAACAAAAGCAAACATCCGAAGAAATTGCTGCGCACGTGCCAGAAATGGCAGGGTTTGCATCTTCAAGCTCCAGTGTCCACTGCCATGACAGGCGCCGCATCACCATCGAACATTTCTACCAAGTGCATCAGCACTCTGTCTCCTAAAAGATATCCGAATACTACCTTAGGCTAGAGTCCTTGTGCTTGGTCCACTTGAATTGGTGTTTCCACCCATTTCTTTCGATAAGCCTCACAAAATCCAGCGCCTTTTTCGAAGAAGTTTTTGGTGAAGGCTGCGCAAATGGAGCCAAACATTTCCTGCAGCTAAAATGCTTGCAGCAAATCACCACGACGAAGGACAACACCCAAACGAGGACATAGTCAACAACCGTGTGCACAACACGTTTGACTTTTGACGATTGATCATTCCGTGGCTCGCAAAAAAATCAAGAAACTAAAGAATGACCATCAAAAGTGTACTGAGCCAGGTTCAAGCTGCTGGGTAAACCTCCTGAGCGAGTGCGAAGATTGGGATCTTCACCAAATATTCTGCCCGCTGGTTCACGTAGAGCTCCAGCTGCAGGGTAGGAGAGATGAGCGAGGAGTCCATGTTGTTGGCCGAGACCTTCTCAAGCTTGTAGTCCACAAAGCGCATGATGCGGGTTACCAGCTCGTAAGACACAGACTGAAGGGAAAGAAGCAGAGTTGCTCTTCTTGCACATGTCTATGTCACCAATCACCAAGGTACTGATTTGACCAGCAAATGAACACGAACGAGAAAACATTTACTGTAATTAAAGTTGATGCTCAAAACATGAGCAAAAAAGGACCAAATTGAAGAAATTCAACTTGTGCGGTCGGTTTCATATCATCACCATGCTCCTTATACCAAATATTATCAAACCATTCATGCTCATCATGCTAACTTACTTAGCAGCCGTAACAACTGGACACGCAACATTTTGTCAATATTCAATGTGTTCACAGGTCTCAATGACACGTCTGAAACACCTGTGGTTCACATCTTCCGCACCTGACTGGCCAAGTAGAGCCTCACCTCCCGTCTTCGACGCGCAGACTCTTCATTCATGGCGCGAAGCTCTGCCATGGTGCCTGAGATCTTACTGATGGCCTCAGTCAGTGAGATGGCCAGTTTTTGGAGCAGGCCGCCCAGCGGCCTCCCGGATGTCTTTACTAAGCTGCAGTGAAATGGGGACGTTGAACACACGCAAATGATCAATTCCACTGGATTCACCGACCATTGTGGGCATGCCACTCAAGTACACTAGCCTTTGGGTTCTTGGGTCAGACCGCTATATAACTCCAAAGCCGAAGCAAACCGAGCGAAATCCAGTCACTCCCAAACACTTCTGAGCTATGCCTTTGTGCGCTCTGGGACCTTTGCGTCCTTGTATGTTGGACCCAAGCACCACTTCTTATGACCAAGCGGCAGAACCAATGACCACAAGTGTGGTGATGCTAATGAAAATATCCACCCCCCTTTCAATGCCGCTGGCTGGATCAAGGTCCGGTGGAGATGGGGCATTCAAGATCCAACGAAGAGCATGCAAGTACTGGACGATCGGGTCAACGCCATTCTCTGCCCTGGCATTGGCAAACTCGATCCAATTCAACACCCCACTATCATAGCCCACGATCCACTCGCCAGTGAAATACCAAAAGCAGGTCAAGAAGTGGGCAACCATAATCATACCAACACCCGTCTTTGTAATGGCCACCACCAAGGTGACCCATTGCCGTCCAGCAGCTGCTGCACTTTCTTCAATCATGGTATTCAACTTGGAGAGTTTGATGATGCGGATCAGCCGCAGGACCCGGAGGATGCGAGCAAATCGGAGAATATGAAGGTCAGTCTGCCCCAAGTTGAAGATGATAAACAAATAGTCAAACGCGATGATGAGGATATCAAAGATCATCCAGCTTTGAAAATAGTACTTCCTTTGGCAAACAAATTCTTGAATGACATCAGGACACGTTGTGGTTACATTGGGCATTCTGAAACTTGCTTGTTGGCGTCATGAGCACAGCGATTTTTTTGCGCGATATGTCCGCTGTCTCCGGTGGGGTCCAAACCGCAGCCAAGACGCAGGATTTCGTATCGACCCATGGCCAACGTGCCTTTCACATAAACCGCCGTGTTCAAATTTATTGGAAGGTCGATGGTCCAGAACACCAGGCTGACAAAGAAGCTCAATCTCACGTACATGCCTGCGGCAGATGTCATCGCCATCGGGACATCCCATGCAAGCGTCGGCGGCAGCAGTATCGCATCATTGAGAAGCAAACCCAAAGCCAGGATGTCCCAACAAAGCTTGAAGAAACCTCATCAGGATGCAAACGTGACTGCCACAGGCCACAGGCCCTGGCAAGCAAGCAGCAGCATATTTAGCTCCCCCGCACCTTGTGGATGTAGCACCCGAAATTTGCGATGCAATATTTTGTCAAGATCATCCCTGGTAGAAGAAAAGGTCTGCCGCAGCTTGTGCAAATGCATCATGCTACCCTTGTCCTTGGCTCACGATTCAACAAGCAGCCCAGAAAACTTGCACACGCACACGCGCACGCAAAGGAAGGCCAATACTATTGCTAATATCGACGCATGAAATGGCTTGTGACTGCACTAGACTCTATAAAAGGGCACCAGCCATACTTGGAAGGCCGTGACGTTTCGTAAGAGCTTTTCGATTCTGCAAACGTTGTAACACTTGAGCCTGACAGGGCTTCTGATATTTTCGTCCACCGGTGTCATTGATGCCTGCAGCTTGAGCATTTCCCTACAACGAGAGGCAAAGTTTGGGTGTTTGTAGGAACTCCGCACTCTACTCACTGTAGTTTTACAAGAACTTCATTCACGTCTTCCAACGCAAGTCAAGCTCTGTAGGCCACGTATCTGTCATTTCAACACCAGAGATTCTCACATGTGATGTTGCCCTTATGTGTACATGTGACACGTGCAACGATGTGCTCGGAGACTTTTTCTCCCACCCCACCCCACACATGCACACGTCAGGCAGGCCCCAATGCCGTTTGCACACTTCATGGCACAAGCGAACCGGTTGTTCTTAACCCCAGCCCATGCACAGCACACATGCACATGTCACGTAGCGCCTGATGCCGAAAGCATGGCAATGGTGTAGCATGTGAACCACCCAACCCACACAACCACCCATCCAACCCAACCCTACCACACCCCAACCCACACATGCACATTTTGGTGAAGTGGAAGTGAAGGAAACCTCAAAAGCGCACATAAGTATGAACTAGCATGAACTAATACAATAATAACTGTATATGTTATTATTCCAGTCGCATAATAAAGAATGCCAAAAAGAGGGCATGAAAAATACAACGGCCGTACTCACGGCTACAGGCACCATCAGCGGCAGTGCGCAATAAGGAAAAACTAAAGAGATCTAAAGAGGAACACGCAGGGCACTGTCCGCACAGCTCTTGTTGGAGGGACATGGAGGCACAACTGACCTGTCCACTGAAACACCGCGCATGTATCATTCTTCATTGGGCTCCCCCATGGTGCGCACTGGGCCAACGGGGGACACGATGTTTTCCTACAAGTTCCAAGCTTCTTTCACCGCAACATCGCCTCCAGCCTGGGTCGACAGTTCCATCCATCGCCCATGCAAGCGGAGACTCACATCCTCTTGCGCACCCGTGCCGCTGGCACGCCGGAAGCGAGGCTCCTGCGGTTTCCTCCGTGCTCTCTTCTCAGTTTGATGAAGGATGAGTGCAGGTGGATCCTGGAAGGGTGTGTCAGTGCTCTAGAACACCACGCCTCAATCTGCAGAGACAAATCATGTTGATAAAACAAAATTGGTTGTTGGTATTATTGGTAATTCTCGACTTTTCCTGAGTGCTAAAGGCCTGCGTTCACTTCTTGATTTGTGCGTGTCTTCATGACTGCACCATGTGACTGAGTGCTCTAGCTTTTACTTCGCACTCCTCCTTGAGGTGTTAAGCTTCGGGACATGCTCATCACCTCATTCTCTAAAACCTAAGGGCTGAACTGTCCAAGATGTCAGCGTGGAAGGCGATCTTTTCATTCAAACCTTCGGTTGTCTCGCCCTTCCTCACTGCTTCAAGGTACTGCTTTTCAAGCAATGCAATATGCTGCTTGGCCCTCATGCAAGACCTGCCATCATAGCGGTCTAAATCACCTAGATCTCGGTATCCTGCGCTCTTGATCCAATTTCTTGTTCGTTCACCTTCAACTGGATCTTCCATGGGAGCGTCCATCATCACCACTTCTTGACTTGATTGGCTAGTACCTTCCACTCTTGGATCTTCAGGAACTGGAGGATGTGATTCCTCCTCTTCTTTCTCGCTCTCCGGCTCCCTCGACTCTAAATACTCCACGGGGATGTGTGCAATCTGTCCGCTGTCAAGTAAGACCATCGCCACGTCACCTGACAGCATCTCTTCTCCAGGACTTGCCGGGCCTGGAGGTCCAAGCAATGTGCTGCCTTGCCTCAATCGAAGGAAATCAACACTGCCTGGAAAATGCTCATGTTGTTGCAGGAAGAACTCTTTCGCCTGTTCTTTCAACCTTTGCTTGTCGAAATTCCTGTTGGACTTCTGGAGGTAGTCCCAATGCTTCCATTCACCTTATTCGAATTCAGCCTGGTCAACATTGCCCTCGTCTTTGACAAGGCCTCGATGAATCTTCTGCACGTACATCTTCAACTTGTCGCTCTTTTCATGTAATTCCATGCTAGAAGCCTCAATTCGAACATGGTATATCTCCAGCCTGTCTTGCACACTTGCCGCATTTCTCTCAAGGCTCTCAATGCGCTACCACTACCACATCTTGTAAATGAGACATGCCACTGCTGCCAAAAGAATCACCAGCAAGAAAATGAAACATGTAACATGTAGTCCATGGAAAAGTCGATTTCTCAATCTTCTCCTCAATGCCGTGACCTGCCGCCTGCTCAAGGCCTTCAAGCAAAAGAATCCTGTTCAACATCTTGGCCAATTTGGTGATTTGGCCTCTGTTCGCTGAACTGGCTGCCATTCTCTCATGCTCATCTTCTCCAAGCCTCTCATGCCTTGCCGTGAAAATGTTGCACCAGTAAAGAATCAACTGGATGCGAGCTCTCGGCAGCGACTTTCTCCCTAAGTCAGCCACATTGTGAACCGTGCCTACTGCTTTGACTTTCAACTCATCTTGCGCTACCAGGTCTTGAAACTTCCTTGAGATGTGTCGCATTTTACCTGGTCCTCGTCTGCGACAAAGATGGAGAGCTGCTGAGTTGTCCACCAAGCAATGATGCACCACGGTCTCATCCACCAGGAACTCTATGCATCTCCTCAAATATATTCCATCTGCTGCACTCCCAACCAATGCGTTAAGCTCTGCTTCTGCACTGCTGAGACTCACTGACTTCTGCCCTCTTGAACTTGAAAAAACCACTGCTCCATTCAGCATGTGGATCGCTGAGGATGTTGATCTCCTGTGGGATTTTGAACCACTCCAGTCACTGTCCGAGTAGGTCTCGAGCAACCATCCTGAGACCTCCGTTCTTGTAGTCAATCCATGGCCTGGCTCTCCGACCTCCAACTGACTGTACTGACCGAGAGTTGGCTTCAGAAATCCGATCAACTTTCCTAGCTTCTTCAGACTTGCTTCCGTGGGACATGCCATCTTTCCAGCCAATTCCTTGACTGTGAAGGAAATGTCAACCCTCTCTTGTGCCAAATAAATGCCACAACCTACCAATGACCGGTAGAGCCCTGCAAGATGTTCTCCAAGTGGTGTTGTTTCGTCTGGCTCTAGAATCTCTTGACCACATGGCAACTTTTGCAGCTTTGCTCTCCCCAGCTCTTTCTCGTAGGCCTCAACCATGTCTTCAGCATACTTGCCTGGATAGATGCGCAAGCCCTCTGTCGTCAACTCATACGTTCTCCGCAAGAACTGACATGCATCACCCACCTTTTTCACATGCTGCTCAGAGATCTCAAACTGAGTCCTCAGCTTTGGCAAAAACTGCTCCTGAACAAAGCTTTCTTTTCCCACGTACATCACATCGTCCACGTGGATCAACAAGGCCATGTCTTTGCACCTGCCAAGGCATGGATTTTCCTTGCTGAACTCAAAGCCTTGCTCCTTCTCCAACCATGAAGTTAGGTGGTCGAACCAAGCCTTTGCTCCAATTCCTTGGCCTGGGGGGTTCTTGAGAATTGCAAATGTCCGGAAGATGTGCTCACTTGAGTTGGGACTTCCTGGTCCACCTGCAAAAAGGCGTCCTTGATGTCAAGCGAACCAAGGATAGGGGAATCTCCTCCTGTCTCTGCCTCCTTCTTCATGGAGAAGCTGGACTATGCACTTCCATGCGCACATCGTTGGCATACTCGCGTGCAACCAGGCTGGATCTCCTCAGCCACATCTTCTCACCTGTGTCTGGCCGTGATTTCATCCTCCAATCTCTCACAAAGCGTGTAGTGAGGTTCTTGTGGTCAGGGCTTCTCTTCTCAATCCGCTCCAACACCTTCATCCTCTGCAGTCTCTCTTCCTCCACTGCCTCTGCAAGATCATCAATCCGTTTTGGAGGATCTGGAGGTACTGTGTCAAGATCAGCGGATGACCACAGCTCTTCTGGAAGTTGGTGCTGTGATTCATTCTTCCACTCTTCGGCCTCCATCAACCAAGCTTCAATCTCCTCTTTGCTCAACACTTCGTCTTGGTGTGCAAAAACATCATCTCCAACCTGAGTCTCCATCACTCGTCTCTCTTGATGAGATTCTTCACTTGGCTTCATCCTCTTCGCTTCTGATGCTATTGAGCCTTGTAGTTCATGAACTGGCTTAATCACTGTCTGCTTCAACTTCTTGGCTTCCGGCTCTGGACTGTCGATTGGCTGTAGAGCCTTGTGTGGTGGTCCACGAGGTGTAGTCGGCATAAGTGGGACAGAAGACAGAAGGTCCTGCTTCGTCACTGCCCTCATTGATGCCTTTACGCTTGTCCTCTGCAATCTTCTGCTCTTCTTGCCTTTCTGAGATCTTAGAGGCGTCCTCCACTTCCACATTCTCTATCTCTCTTCGCTCTTCAAGCTTTCCAGCGTAGGACCCCGAGAAAGCTAGCACTTCTAGAGCATCATGATCGTCCTCTGCAATCTGAACCACCTCTTCAAAGGGAAGTTTTCATCATGGGCCCTCAACCAATGTTGCAAGGCGCTTTGAAGGAACTATACGGCCACCGAAAACTCCCATGAGAAAGCTGAGAATCCTTTGAAGCATACCAGGTATAGGTTCCATGAGTTTTGGACTCTACGAATGGACTTGCTCAAGAAGACTCTGGAGCCATCTCACCCAAGCGTCTTGGACGTCGCTTTTGCCCAGACAAACTCCAATCTTCCACCTAGGATCAGCCTTGTAACCTTGCTTGTGCTTGGTGTAGGCGAAGACAATCTCACCAAACCTGCACAGTTGGACCGCCCAAACACCAACTCATAACTTGTAGTGCCCTGCAGAACTTGGAATCTGTTCAACGTCCATGCTGCATGTCTGCAACACCAAGTCCACAAAGGGTGCTGGTTGTTGAATCTAAGCCCTATCTCCTCAACTATGGCTTCCATCAACGTTGCTGCAACTGCTCTAATGCGCTGGATGGCATTCTCCACCAATGCATTGCCTGCTGAATCATACAACTTCGTCGTCTTCATGCGGGTTTGCAATCCAATTGCACTCCTTTCTGTCACCAGCAACTTGAGTATCTGGCAGGCCGTTGGCTCGTTGTCCGAGTAGTAGGCCACCTCCTGGTGTCCAAGCAACTGTGAGTGATTGCCATGAGTTCGTGAGCAATCAAACGAATCAAATTCACCTGTGACTTGGGCCTGAGAGGTAGTCCAAGAAGATACCCAGTTTCTGACTCCACTGCCACCAGCCACAATGAGCCAGTCTCCTCTGGAACACCAGCCTGAGCTCCATCTCCTTCTTCTGGATGCGCAAGTGGTCCGATGCCACTGGCCTTGGTGTATGCAAAGTCGAAAGAAATCACTGGTCCTCCTTCACAGGCATGACCAGTGCGGCGATGTTGGCCTTGCTTTGCACGATGCTTCACACATGAGCTGCACCATCCTGCGAAAGGAACATGCGTCAAGTTGTGTTTCCTCTTCTCCTCTTCTGTCGGTGCTTTGGTGATGAACTGTTCCTTTGGATCCCTGCTCTGAGCTGCCAAGGCCTGCTGGGCCACATCTCTGGCCTGCAGCAACTCGAGAGTGTTTTGGCGCTCAACCAATCTTGAATAGCACTTTGCCTTGCTGCCACTCTGGCCTACTCTGTAGAAGCACACGCTGCTCTCAAACTTCTCAAGGGACTGTCAGCCGTCAAAACCACACCATTCACTTGAATTTGTGCTGGAACTGCAACTCCAACCTCAAACCGAACTTGTTGATCATCTAGATCTCGACCTGCAAGCTGAAGTCCTGGCAATTCCGGAATCTCTACTCCATCCACATTGTCCTCCTCGCCATCTGCCATAGGAAGCTGAAGATCACTCAGCTCCTCCTGCCGCTCTTTCTGTGAACCCCACTTGAACTCTTCAGCCTCGAACCCAAGATCCTCCGGGGCTTGTGGAACCTCACTTGGCGTCGCGAAGGTCAAAATCCTCGCCTCGAAGCTCCTCGATGGCTGCGCTCTGATCCTCCAAGCCATCAAGGGGGTCCATATCCCCCTTGAAATTCCAGGGGGGTCTGGGGAGCCATTTTATAGCTATAAAACATTGACCTCGGCGCCAGGAGTCTGGCTATAAAATGAAGAGGAGTGACCTCACAGAGAATTTCATAAATTGAGGGGGGCTGACCTCAAAACGCATCTCCAACATACATGAGTAGCGCTATAAAATGGCGACACGTTCCTACATAGAAAGAGCACAGGACATCAAAAATGACTTCCAGAAACTCCAAACCATCTCAATGCCATTTGTGGCACAGGGATACATGAAAGGATGTTTTACCACCTGAAATTTGCTTATATATTTTTACCCTTTAGATATCTCTACATCTCTCCATGCGCTACTTTTGTTTGCAGGTGGTTGTTGTTGGCCTTGTACATTCCAGGCAAGTTGCCCTCCAGATCTTCCTAGGTTATACTGTGACATGACCTTCAATGACCCAAGAGACAGAAACCACCATACTATAAAATGGCAGGGCTTGACCTTCCCAGGGTCCATAAAGCTGTTGGCAGAAGCTGTGCTGCAAGGACTTGCGAAGTCTCTTGGTCAAATGACCCATAAGGGTCCAAGAGACTTCGCAAGTCCTTGCAGCACAGCTTCTGCCAACA